ATTTGCACTGGCTCGACAGGGCCGACCAAGCGTGCCTCTTCTGCCCCGCGCACGAAACGTACCGACACTTCCTCGTAGACTGCGACTTCATCAAGGACGTGTGGAGCACGCTTCACGCCGTCACGGTCCCTTTGGGTGTGACCTTGCCGACTACGCTCTCCGGCTACCTCTACTCGACGCCCACGACGGCGTCCAGCATGCACCAAGCCGCGTTCCGCTACCTCTGGCCCGTGCTCCGCGCCTGCGTCTGGTTCAACGTCTGGCGAGTCCGGAACGACCGCGTCTTCCGCGCCGACCTACCGCTGCCAAGTCCATGGACGATTGCCGTCAAGGCGGCACGTGTCGCTCAACTGCACTTGCACCACAGCCTCGTCCAAGAGCCCGAGCAGCCTGCTCTTCGTCGGCTTCTCCGGCTCCTGGCCCAACACGAGTGGCCGCGACGTCACCTCGTCCCGCGGATCGCGCTCCTGCCTCCGCCTGCCTAAATCAAGTCCCTCAACCGAGTACACACAACGAAGAAAGTCCGACAATTTTATTTAGCATAGTTTTATCTATTGTAATAGACGACCCACTTCAACAACAACTGATTCTGGCAGGGTTGATGCTCACCCCGAGAATGAGAAAATGTCAAAACCGGGTCAACGTGGGCCCCAATCAGCCCAAAATTGGGTAAAATTTGCATAAAAATACATAGACTTGGTTTTACTATGCTGTGGCCAAGGGAATAATTTTTTATTCCCTTGGCTGTGGCACTCTATGGCACATGGTGGCACGCCTCGGCGTCATCACATGCCCTCTCCTCCTACGCCTCCTTACCCGCAAACAGTGCAGCAATCCTTTCACCTTTCTCAACACCTCACATCACTCCCACCTACCCTTCCTCGCGACGACCTTGCCCCAATACCCTGCCGGGAACTTTAATGAATGGTTATTTTCTCCAAAATTCCTGTTTTGACGCAGCTTTTGCCAGACACACCCCGTTCTGTCATTTTCCTTTACCAAACACACCCCTTTTTGTTATTTTAGAGAATGGGGCCAGACAGCGTCAGCCAATAGCGGTCGAGTATTCGGGGCCAATGCCCGATCCTCCTCTGGGTAGCCCACAACCTTGTGCAATAATTCGCCTTCGTCAATACAGTGTATTCTGCAATTGGACCCATGCGCGCCTGGACAGTGCTGCGCGGGCTCGTCGCATCCGCCCAATCGTGCACGTATTACCGCTACTACAGCAGCTACGTGGTGGCGGACGGCCGGAGCTGCAGGTCCGCAGCGACAGCGTGCGCCGTCAACTCGTCGTGCCTCGAGGTATCTTACCGCGTGGACACGGAATGGCCGAATGCACGTGCCGTGGGTGACATGACCTACTACAAGCCGTCCCACCTGTACGCGATTCCGCTGCGCAAGGATTGACCACGGTCTTAGGGGCTTCGTCAACTCGTCCAGCTTGGACCTGCGCGTGATGACGCTGCCCAGCACCTTGACGACAATGCAAGCGCGACAACCACATTTTCCCAGCGGTCATGCTGCATTCATAGGTCGGTCACAAACGTCGAGACGCTCGACATTAGTGTCGGGTCCTTGCTCACTCCGCGCACGTGGTACGCGAAGGCTCTCGGTGGCGAAAGTAGCACGACGGGGGTTGTAGGTGGATCACGAACGTGTCTACGATCATGATGCCATCCGCGTGGCCGTCGAGCCTGGAAAACTTGTACTCGATCATCGAGAAACCTGGCATTAAGAGCTCACCTCTTGCACAGGTACCTCCAAAACACCAGCCTCACGCGGATCCCTGCCGGGTTGCCGTCGACCGTCCAAAATTTGTACGACCCACCCTCGTGCCGTGTGGCTCGACTGCATGCGTCCTAGGGGACTCTACATCAACAGCATTTCCGACGTGACAAGTCTGCCAAGTCAGCTTGGCACGGTGTACGTCGACCAACTCGTGCTTCAATTCAACGACAGTCTGGCTGAACTAGGGACCTGCGCTTCAACCCAATCGAAAAGCTCGTCAACCTCGACATGACGGCCAACCTGAGTACCTTGTACGACCAAGGTCCTTGGCGGTGGGCATATCTCAAACGCATACTAGGGACATTAGCAACACGCCGATTACGACGCTCTCCCGCGTCTATTTGAGCGACAAGATGAAATACTTGTACGCCGTACGTCGGCAAGCGCAGCGAACTCATCGGCTCCTGCGTAGTGCTTGCTACAATTGCACGCAGCTCGCCAACGTCACCATCACGCAATCAACCTTCAACGCGCTTGATCGTCTCGGCCTCTTCGCATACGTCACCGCTACCATCGTCCGCAACGGCATTGAAAGCACTCAGAAAGTTCCCACCGGCTTTACATCGACCAAGCGTTCAGCATGGATGTCGCTCCGTGCGCTGCGATCGGTGGGGCCACCAAGGAGCTGTGGAAAGCCAAATCTTCCACATACACCTGGACCGTCTGTGTGCTCCCTGGTACTGCGTCGGTCGCACTAATCTGCGCTTGCTGCTGACCCTTTGATTGTAGACGAGCCTGGCGCTTCGTCCACCCCGACCACAGCCACCAGTGCATCGAGCAGCAGTAGCGTACGGTCGCCCCATGCTCGTACTCATGCACACGTAGACACGGCGTTGATTGCGGGCGTGGCTGCGGGCGTCGTCGTCGTTCTTCTCGGAATCATCGGCTTTTGCATCTATCGTCGTCGCCAGCGCACCTTGAAGAACGAGAGGGCGCAGCCCGAGGATGCCGCCACTTGCTACTTTCCAGTGCTGCCAACGCCGGTCGTCTCGATCGGCACGGGCACCGGCCCCTCGACCGCGCAGGACCAGGGCTCGCAGCGCGGCGGCCGCATCGTTGAGACCGGCGACGATGTCCTCAACATGGCCCCGCTACGCAAGTTCAAGCTCGAGATCGACGACTTGGTCACGGTCGGCTCCAAGCCGATTGCGTCCGGTGCCTACGGTGACGTGTGGCGTGGCCGCTACTTGAAGGAAGACGTCGCGATCAAGCGCATCAAGCACGACTCGACGCGCCACATTCAAAAGTTTATGGACGAAATCCTCCTCCTTTCCAAGTACGTCCTGCACTCGGCTATCGCCACTCGACGGGGTGTCGTAGGATGCAGTGCAGCTACATCGTCGAGTTTGTCGGCGCGTCGTGGCGCCGGCCGATGGACCTCGCGTGTGTCGTCGAGTACATGGACCTCGGCGACCTCCGGTCGTTCTTGTCCAAAACGACGCCCGACCAGTTTACGTGGCCGCAAAAGCACATGAGCATTTCAAGCGTCGTGCTCGGCCTTTTGTACCTCCACACGTTCGAGACGCCGATCATCCATCGCGACCTCAAGTCCCGCAATGTGCTTCTCGACTCGAAAAAGGTATGTTGTTCTTTGCATTTATGGGATTTGAAGCCTCGACGACATATCCTAGGGCACCAAGCTGACGGACTTTGGCGAGTCGCGCGAGGTGGACGAGAACACGCTCACGTGTGGCATTGGCACGTACCAGTGGATGGCGCCCGAGGTCATTGGTGGTAGCGAGTACACGGTGGCCGCCGACGTCTACTCCCTCGGTACCTCTTCTTAATGAGGCTAGGGTTGGGTAGTCACCATTACGTGTCTAGGGGTGCTGCTCACCGAATTTTCGACGCACTTGACGCCGTACTCGGACATGATCAACCCGCACACGCAAAAGCAGTACAACCAGCAGTACCTCCTCACGCAAGTAGCGTCCGGGAAGATCCGACCCACGATGGACCTCTCGACGACGCCGACGTGGGTCACCGACTTGGCGCTGCAGTGCATGGCGACCAACCCCGATGATCGGCCAAGCATCATGGTCGTTGCGGCCATGGTCCCTCGCGTTGTCTAAGACGACTGGAAACTTTCTACGAATAAGAACGCTACGAATACATATACACTCTGTCCGCAGAATAAAGAAAACGACCAATGGATATAGCGGAGAGAACGCAGGTCCGAGGTTGCTCCGCACCGCGGCACGGGCAACGGCGCGCTGCGGCCCTTGTCGCTTGCCACCTCGTGTTGCAGTGTCGCAAAGGAGGAACACGAGTGAACGCGACAACACCAATGTGACGAGATCGGATTCCAGGTCACTCCTCTCTCGGACCTTGTCGTGATGTGTTGTTTGTTTTTTCGGGAGGAAATCAAATTCGACGGAAAACGCGGTGCATCTCGCCAAAAATATATTCACTAGTGCATTGATGTACTCTTGGTCACGCGCACGAGATTGGTCTTTTGGTGCTCGAGGACGTGGATCTGGCTGACGGTGATCGCCGTTGCTTCGAAGCTCCAGACGATGCCACCTAGTATCGACCTCCGTACCAACAGCATAATTGCTTGGATATCTCGTCAAGTCATCGTCGGGACGATGCTTGCAGGTAGTGGACGGCGACGAGGCACATGGCGCCGGCAAAGCAAGCCGCGCGTGGTTCAAAAGATTGATTTGAGAGTATTTGATTGGCTATTTTTATTCCCATTTTGGGCCAATCATACACGATTGAGTACTGGCAACCTCGGTGCCAAGTTGGCACCGAGGTTGGAGGTTTGGGGTTAGTGCGCCAAATCGCGGTTGAAAACGAAATCGTTTCAACGTGTCCCAATGATAAAGGACACTTTGGGGGACCTGAAATGCGAATTCGTGTTGGCGTGCGAGGCTGCCACGAGAATGATGCAAGATTGATTGCGGCTTATGCCACGAATAACAAGAATGAACTTGTCTTCTTCGTGGCATATGCCGCAAGCAAGCTTTGGCAACGCATAATTTCCGTTGCACGCCTCGCCTGCCGACGAAAAGTAGCATTTCAAGTCCTCCAAAGTGTCCTCTATCTCTGTGCCAAGTTATTGCGATTTCATTTTCTACCGCGATTTGGAGCATTGATCGGCTCGGGGCCAAGGTGGCCAGTACGGGATCGCGTGTGATTGGTCTACAATACATTTAGAAACAGCCAATAAAATGACTTCAAGACCAATCTTTCGGGCGTTGCCGTCGTAGAGTGCTTCATCGTTGTCGACCAAGATTACCTGGAGCAAGGGTATATAATAAATGATTTATTATATACCCTTGCCCGCAGGCACCTTGCACTGAGAGCGTAACGACGTCGCACATCGATAGACGTTGCCTCTTACTGCGTTGAGAACGTCACGGCAGTTGCATGCCCATTGTCCGTACGTTAAAGTGTCATTGATGAAGCGCTGGGCGATTGGCACTCGAAGAGCGCGCCGTCAACAAGGACGACTCGACAGCTGCAGCGCTAGCACCGGAAGCCTGTGCGCTGGACCAGCGATCCGGATAAAACTATGCGGATGCTCTTCAATTGGTTGAAACAGGGTGCAAAATCACCCAATGGCACGACGAATAAAAACGCCACACGCTGTCGTCGTCGCCACATCCCTAAATTCATAAATCCAGGATGCTGATTCTGCCAACGCTCGAGGCTTTCACCGTGCGGGCCATGGTCCCCGGCGTGCTCGAGACGCCGGTTGCCTTGACGCTGCGCCCGGACTGGACCGTCGCGCTGGCCGTCGAGGCCCTCGAGATGCAGCTGCTGGCGACGCGCGGCCTCGCGATGCGCGTCGTCTTCGTCTTCAACGACACGCGGGCGCCCGAGCACATGATTCCGTTCCACGAGACCGTCGGCGACCTCTTCGGCGCCGATGACGGCTTCTACGCCTTTGGCGAGGTGTACACGCCGTCGACCACGCGCAGCGTTGCGCCGGACGAGACCTCGGCCAAGGCCAAGGTGCCGGTCGTCATCATGACCGGATTCCTTGGCGCGGGCAAGACGTCGCTCCTCAACAACCTCCTCTTCCAGCAGCGCACGCTCAAGATCGCGGTCATCGAGAACGAGTTTGGCGAAGTCGCGATCGACAACGACCTCCTCGCGTCGCACGCGCTCTCGGTCGCCGACCAGCTCATCGTGCTCGAGAACGGCTGCATGTGCTGCACCGTGCGCGGCGACATCCTCGGCGCGTTCGCCTCGATCCGCGACAAAGTCGTCAACGAGAATGCGCACTTGGACATGGTGCTCATCGAGACGACGGGCATGGCCGACCCGCTCCCGATCGTGCGCACGATCACCAACACGCCAGCGATCACCGATGCATTTGGCATGAAGGGCATCGTGACGGTCGTTGATGCGTGCAACATTGGCCAGCTCCTCGAGGAAGAGAACCCGGAAGCGCTCTCGCAGATCCTCCTCGCCGACCTCATTGTCGTCTCGAAAACAGACCTCGTGCACACGCGCGCCGAGCTCCTCTCACTCTTTGAGACGCTGCGCGAGATGAACCCAAGCGCGCGCATCCGGCCGTGCGTCCGCGGCAACATGCCGTTCGATGTGTTTTACCAGCTCACGTCGTTCGACTTGCAGAAAATGGCCATCGACGAAAGCAACGAGATGGACGACGCGCACGACCACGACCACTGCGACCATGATCACTGCGACCACGACCATGACCACGACCATGACCATGACCATGCACCCGCGCCCAAGAAGTCGCGCCACGGTGCCAAGACGTCGTCGTTTGCGATCGTTTTGGACGACCACGCCGTCGACATGTTTCTCTTTGCCCAGTGGATGCGGCGGCTGGTCTTGCCGGCCAAAGACGGAGACGCGGCCAAGCAGCGATTGTACCGTTGCAAGGCCATTTTGTCGGTCGACGGCGTCGAGAAGAAGCTCGTCTTTCACGCAGTCGGCGACGTCGTCGAGCGCGAGTGGCTGCCTGTTCCCAAGGCGCACGGGTGCAAGGTGGTCTTTATTGGCCGGCACCTCATGGAAGAGAGCCTTCGCGCGCAGTTTATGGCGATCGTCTACAAGCCGTCGCGCCGTCGTGGGCCGGTGGCAGTGGCCACTCGAGGCTTGGAAGGTCTCTCGGTGCCGCTGCTTCGCCGACTCGGGCGCTTCTTGACCTCGGACGACGTGCTCCGCGTCGCACAGACAAGCCGCGCGCTGCATGCGGCGTGGTCGCACACGGGCCAGCCGTACGGCGGCGAGAGCTCGCTGACAGCGTTCCAGGACCTCAAGCGCATGTACGTGCATCCATTCGTACCGGTCCCGGCGCTTCCGTCGTTTCTGCGGGCGTGGAAGCAGGCGGCCGTCGACGTTGTGGGCATGTCGACGGTCAAGTACCGGTCGCCGGCGCACGTGGACGCGGCGGCGGTCGCGTACCTCGAGCTCGCGCGCCTCGCGGAAGCGTCGAGCCGCAACTTTCTCATGGACTTTACGTGGCGCGAAGAGACGTTAAACACGTTTTTTGCGACGCCGACCGCGACGACGAGCTCGACGCTGATTAAAACCGAGTACGAGTACGAAGACGAAGACGAGTTTGACCCGATCTGTGACGTGATCCGCTTCCGCCTCTTTCTCGTGCCGGATGCGACCGGCCACCGCCTCGAGATCCAGATCGTGGGTGGGAAGACGTCGTCGCAGATCTACCAAGTGTCGTTCCACTCGATCCACCCGACGTTCCAGGTCCACGTTGCGATTCCCGACCACCGCATGCCCCGGGTCGCGACGAAGGAGGTCTTTTACCCCGGCCACCCGTTCTTGCACGCGCTCAAGACGGAGCGATCGCTGCGCTTCATCGTACGCATCAAGCCCGACGGCAGCGGGCCCCTCGGCGAAATGTGCGGCTGCTGTTAGTTGGCGACGTCGTTGAAATTCATATACCGACTACATACATCACTTGTCCACCCATCAACCCTCCGCGCGGTTGAATGTAGAGACCACCAGTGTGGTCGAAGAGTCATCCATTTAACGTGTTTGCGTTCGGTTCAAATGAGCAAAAAGCAAAACCACACACTTGTTCAAGGCTGGAATGCATGGCTTGGTCGTCGGCGAGGAGCTCACACGACCCACTCTCGGCCGTTGAGTGGTTCGTGAGGCCTGGGCCCAAGTTGATCCTGGAGGTGCATACGCATGCTGCATGTGATGCATGGAGTACATAGGTATTCCATTTCTTCGTATAAGTAGTTCAAGGGCACGCTACATCTACCTCTTGGTGCATGCGTTGTTGATATCTACTTGCAAAAGGGAAGATGGAAACCGTGTCCATGTCCGCAACCGTTACGAAACCGAACGGCTATCTCTAATATCTTCGATTTGTTTTATCTTCGAAGTTCGTGGCAGGTGGGTGCCTCTAAAACGCATTTTTGGGGTACCACCCCTGGCGCTGCGTCGTCGTTGGCGGCCAGTGATAATACTGCCAAGTCGACGACGACGATGAGCGACGTGAGCAACAGCGTGTGCGCGAGCCCTGGCTGCGGCAAGCCGGCCAAGATGGCCTGCCCGACGTGCAAGAAGCTGGGCGTCCCGGCCAACATCTCGAGCTTCTGCTCGCAGGAGTGCTTCAAGAGCTACTGGCCGCAGCACAAGGGCTTCCACAAGATCTTTACGCAGTCGCAGACAACCGACAAGTTCTTTGGGTACCAGTTTACGGGCGATATCCGCCCGGGCACCGTCACGCCCATGAAGACGGTGCCGGATCACATCCAGAAGCCCGACTACGCGGTGAGCGGCATCCCGGTGTCGGAGCAGGCGGCCGACCGCAGCAACAAGATTCCAGTCTACTCAGCTGACGAGATTGCGGGCATCCGCGAGGCCTGCCGCATTGGCCGCGAAGTGCTCGACATTGCTGGCCGCTCGATTCGCATTGGCATGACGACCAACGAGATTGACGAGATCGTCCACGCCGCCTGCATGGAGCGCGAGGTGTACCCGTCGCCGCTCAACTACTACCATTTCCCGAAGTCGGTCTGCACGTCGGTCAACGAAGTCATTTGCCACGGTATTCCCGACAGCCGCCCGCTCCAGGACGGTGACATTCTCAACATTGACGTGACGGTCTACAAGAACGGCTACCACGGCGACCTCAACGACACGTTCTTGGTCGGCCACGTCGACGAAGAAGGCGTCCGCCTCGTCAAGAACTCGTTCGACTGCCTCGCCGCCGCCGTCGCGCTCGTCAAGCCCGGTACCATGTACCGCGACCTCGGCAAGGCGATTGCGCTCGTCGCGGAAGCCGAAGGGTTCTCAGTCGTCAAGACGTACTGCGGCCACGGCATCGGATCGCTCTTCCACACCGCGCCCAACGTACCGCATTACGCCAAGAACAAGGCCGTTGGTATTATGCGCCCGGGCCACATCTTTACGATCGAGCCCATGATCAACGTCGGGTCGTGGCGCGATGGCCGGTGGCCGGATGACTGGACGGCCGTCACGACGGACGGGAAGCGCTCGGCGCAGTTTGAGCACACGATCCTCGTCACAGAGACGGGCTACGAGCTCCTCACGGCCCGCCAGGACGAGCCCGTCATGACGTGGGACCTCGCCAAGGTCCAGCGCGGCTTGTAAGACACTGTACGACATACAAAAAAACAGTGTTTGTTTTGCATTCGCGATCGTCATGTAGCACGTGGAGAGCTACCCAACGATGGTAGACGTCTCATGTTTCCTCCTCGCACTCCTGGCGACGTGCATAAGAACGTACTGCACGGGGTCTGCCACTGGATGTGGAGCTCGAGGCGATCGAGTAGCTGCCGATCCGATGGACGCGATGCGTCGACATGAGCTGCATCCGAGCCTACAGGTCCCTTTGCGTAGGGCCTCGAACCCGCCGCGCCACGCTGTATGGCTGGCGGTCCATCAAATCCTGGTCGCCTCGAGCGTCGGACCAGGTGGGGGGAGACCCGTGCGCTCTTCCATGCTGAAAGGTCGATGAGATGTCGCATCCATTTTGTTTGTTTCCTGTAGAAGGGGCGTACGCTTTGCCGAGGTATTTACGACGCTTCCTTGGGTGTCACGGTCCACTGGAAGAGACTGCGGTCGACGCCGCCGATCGAGTACATTTTGGTGCCGTCGGCGTTGAAAGTGACGCCCGTGATCTGGCCGCCATGGCCCTTGAGGGCGCCAAAGGCCATCTACACGATCAATGTATATAACCTCGATTCAACGCAGGAACGAATATCACGTTTTTGGACAAGCACGGAAACGAGTGCAGCGAGAGATCACCGCGGTCGTTGCCACTGACCAGCATCTTGGCGTCGGGGGCCACTCCGATTGCATGAATGTAGTCTTGCGAGTCGCCCCAAACTCCTACGCAGATGCTTATCAAATAGTTTCCCACCGTGCCTTCGAACCTTGCGCTGCCCACGACAGCACGCACGTGTGCGTGGCCCAGTCGGCATCACGGAGCGACGACGGGCTTGAGATCCAGGCGCCATCAAAGGCATTGACTAGAATCGAGTTTTCATATTTCAACTTGAAACGCGATTGGTTCGTACCGTAAAGGAGCTCGAACGCGTCGCTGTTGGCGCGCAAGTACCGACTGTCTTTTGAAAAGTCGAGGTGCGTAATGTGCCTGCCATAAGATTCAACGTTTCGCGTCATCATGCTAGATAGATATGGGAAAACCTACCCCGTGCTCTTGGTACACTTGGAGCGGAGGGCGTAGTTGTCCATGACGCCGTGAAGGTAGATGGTGTTGTCGTGGGATCTACGATTTCGATGCTGACACCAAGATCTTACCGACAAGAATTTACGCACCCAATCGCGAGAAGTGTGCCGTCAGGCGAAAACTTGATGTCGCTGATGCTCTGCTTGGAGTCGCGGCCTTCGTGGAGGATCTCGAGTGTCGTCGCATCGAGCACGGCAAACTACATCATTTGAAATGTTCAAAACTGTTGAGTACAATGATGAAAGATCGCACCGCGCCTTCCTTGAGCTGCCCCGATGCCTGTGACGCACTCCCGAGACCGATCGCAATCGACTTGCCGTCGGCCGAGAACGCCACCGCCTTGATAGGTGTGTCCATGACAACCTTTCCAATCTAGTTGCACCAGATTTATATCAAAGAGCACACATCAGGATATATATACGATGGACATACAAGTTCGTGCTGGGTACTGTTCCAAACCCGCAAGGTGCAGTCTTCGCCGCCCGTGGCCATGATGTGGGGCAGGGTCGGGTGCGCCGCCAAGCCAAAGAGACCATGCTCGTAGTGCGACTCGAGCACCAAGTTGGTGTCTCCGCTGGCTTGACTGAGCTCGTAGATTTCGCCACCTACCTCCCGCATTATTATGCAACACGTACAAATTGCCCGAGACGAACCGCGGGTGCCGACGAGGAAGCGGCTCTCGGCGAGGTCCCATGCGACACTGCGGACAATCGGACTGCTGCACGCAGGCTTGGCCTGGCACATGTCGAAGTCCCAGACAGGGTTCAAAAGACGGTTCCAGACTTTGACGTGCCCGTCAGCGCCACCCGACACGATGCCTAATGAATCATGCCCACCTCGATCTACAAAGACCGAGATATGTACCAGCTTTTGTCACAAAGAGACTGTTGACGGTGCTGTTGTGGGCTGGCACGGACCGCTCGACGACTGATGTGTTGCAGTCCCAGAGGTACAAGTGCCCTGTCCGCGTCCCTACCGCCATCGCCATCTATGAAATGAAAAAAGACAATATTGAGCTCGTACCAGTGACAATCGTGCCCTTGTCGAGCGCGCCGCCGCACGTGAGCGTTTGGATCTGCGCTTGGGCGCCAAAGGTCCCAATCGTCGGGTGCAAGTTTGGCGGATCGAGGCGCCAAAAGAAGATGTGGTCGACCCCGCCCGTGACCACATCAAACATGCTCTGCATGTACGGCAGGCACGTGATGAACCGCGTCTACGACAATATTGTGCACACTATTAGCAAATGAACATGACTCTACCGGCAGGTGGGACGTGCGGGCCGACGCAAGGATGCGGGCGTCGTGCCAGAGCCCCGACGCGGAGCCGTACACGACAAGCGAATGATAGGTGTCTTTGCCGACGCTCACGAGCCGCGTCGCCGTCTCGTTGAACGTCAAGTACACGATGGCTTTGGTATGGCACGCCGGTAGCACCTGTACAGAGTTGTCATCCATAATTTGAAAAAGAGACAGCAATCTGCAACAAAACGCCAAGAGCAGCGTACCGCGATCGGTGTACACGCCGTGGGATCCCACACGTGAATGCGTGGCAACTCGATTGCGGTGGGACCGTCATGATTTCTTCGCCCGTCGCGACGATGAGGCCGTCGGGTGACATGGCCATCGAGATGATCGGCGCCACATGGCTCGTGTAAAAGGCCTGGGTGTGGCGCTTGCGGTCGTAGCTAATGCCGACGCGGCCCGACGAGCTCACAATCCGTTTGGCTTTCGAGTATTGCGTGAGATTGCGCATGTCTTGCAGCCGCGCGCCGTAGACAAAGTCGATCTCAAAGGCGAGGCTCAGCGCCGTCGGCTCGTCTGGCGCCGTGGTCGGTGGCACGAGCCCCGTCAGGTACGGTTTGGTGCCTAGCCCACAGTGGTGCAATTCGAATTCCATCCATATAAGGCTACCTGCAAAGGGCTTGACGCTGAGCGGCGTCGGGAGGAACCAGCCCTCGGTTTCCAGATCTGTGTCGGCATCCACGACCTTGGCTTTGTTGGCCTTGTCCGGCTCGGGCAGCTCGATCGAGTACGCCTTCCATTGAATAAGCGCGTGGTCATTGAGCCCAACAGAGAGGAGATGGCTCTTGTTCTGCGTGAACGAGAGTGCTTGAATCAATCCCGCGTGTCCAAAGAAGCATTTGTACGGTAGACCGTCCCGTATGCACGGAAACCTATGCCATTCAAGTCACAACAACGCGGTATACGTTGGAGAGGAGATTACCGGAAGAGCTTGAGCGCGCCTTGGGTGTCGCCAACGACCAGCGACGACCCATTTGTCGTGCTTGCCGAGATGCTCGTCTTCTTGGCACTGGGCGGCCACGCGCCTTGGTTGTACCTACACCCAATGATATACTGCTGACTTGTCCAAGGCCGCGACGAGGTAGTACCAGTTGAAGATGGTCGAACACGTGTGCCACGTTTGGTTCTTGAGCGCTGTCGCACTGGCGACATGGGACCCCGTCGTCAAGTCGGCAAAGAGAAGCTCATAGCCACCGCAGTTGCTCTAAAAGAAGACATGTTATCCATCCTCGTATTGTACGTATGGTGACGTACGCGCAGGTACTGGGCGTCGGTCGAAATGTCGACGTGCGTGATGAAGCTACAGGGGTGCTTGCTTCGTGTCCAACGACGAGCCAATTCGAGTAATACCTCTTGTGCTTGTTGAAGGTCGCGCGCTTGGCATATTCGTTGGGTACATCGTAGACGTAAATGATATTGTCTTGTGCGCCGACGACAAGCGAAACGCCATCCGGTGAGTACCGAATGACGGAGATCGGCTGCTTGGTATCGCGGGTTTCGTGCAGAATGTCTAGGCGCCGCGTCATATGCATACATCCCTATCAAGGCGTCCAGGTACCGAGACTCAAAACGCCGTCGTTGAGCTTTTCCTCGTAAATAAGGAGTGTCCCGTCCTTCTTGTGCCGGTTTTTCTTGGGGTCGCCACCAAGACCGACGGCCAAGTACGCGCCTTCGGGGCATACGCGACCGCGCGCGACGACGTATCGAGACCAAACTTGAGGATGCACTTGTGCTTGTACGTGTCCCAGACGCGGAGCGTGCCGTCGTCGCCAGTCGTGACGGCCTTGTCTGTCGCCAATATTACGGTTTGTATCAAGTTGATACGTTTAAACCTCGTACCTTTGGTCGGCGACACGGTCAGGCCTTGGACCTGGCCTTGGTAGTGCATGTCCATGACGGTCGTCATGATGGTACCGTCGCTCGCGTTGATCTCGTAGACGCAGCTATCCCGCGTTCCGACGAGCAACGTCTGGCGCTCCGTGTGCCAGAGCAGCGACCGGATCGGTTGCTGGTTGCACACGTTGAACTGGTTCAGGCACTCGAGCTCCGAGGTCCAGATCTAGAAAGTGATACAAACAATGTAATCTTCATCCGGTTTCCGCAACAAGAACCTTGATCAAACCGTCGCGACCGCCGCTGCAGACCGAGCCATTTGCACATGCGTAAAGTGCCGCAACGCTTCGGGTATGGGCCGGTACGATGGTCACGAGCTCGATCCCTGCATGTCTGTTCGTTTTGCTCCTGCTCCATGCGTGCCGTACCTTTAAACTTGTAGAGCTCGCCGCTCGTCGACCCTGCGATCGCGTCGGGCCCGACAAAGACGATGCTCAGGAACGGCTGGAGGTACCCGCGCTTCCCAAACGCCGCGTGTTTGCGCGTGACATTTCTGCCCACAACGCGGTAGAACGAGACGTCGCGCTGGCTCACCTACTCGAAAAAGATGGTATTGCTAAGCATGGATCACTTTAAATCCATGTGCAAAAGGGATACCGCAACAAGGGTCTCGACGGCGCCGGACGCACTCGTGTTGGTACTTGGCTGGAACCCGAGGCCGAGGATCTTGGCGGCGCCCGTTTTAACCTGAGCGAGGAGCTGGCCGTTGGCCCAGTCGTGCAAAAGAATGGTGTTTTCCGCGTCCGTGCCGGCCGACGCGAGCACAGTCCCCGATACATTGAAACTAGACGACAGTGTAGCGCCGATTTTGTTGCAGAAGAAATGTACGCGAGCTCGACGACACCACGCTTGTGCACACCTCGAAGGGTTGAGAGCACCGCGAGTGTCTACATCCGTTGCATGTGAATATATTCATACAAAAGCAATGTACGTGGTGGTGCCATATGTGGATCGACGGGTACTTGCCCACTTCAGCGGACGCAATCACTTCGAGGTTGGGGTGCATGGCGATCGACACCACCTGCAACGATAATTATCGCATTTTCTAGATGGCGGCACCAATACCTCGTCTTGGTGCTGCTTGAAGTGGCGCTGGGACCAGCTCTTTGTTTCGAATATCACGACGAGCTTGGCCACCGGGTACACGATGCGTCCTAGTCGCCGCTGAGACCAGTGACTGCACATACAAGCCGTGCCTTGCTTGGTGTATTTGATGTTGTTGCGGCAGTCGTGGCCCCGATAGCCATAGACCCACTCCATCTCCATGTGATCGGTTGGCATCGTCGAGTCCTACCATCGCTTTGCATGACGATGCTCCAGCGTGGGTTTTTCGTACCGGCTCGGGCGCCGCGTTCGATGGCGCAATCGCACTCCCGACCCATGGCTTGACCGGCTCGGCCGCATTTGTGCTCGTGTCAGACTGTTGCTGCACTTGGTGAAACAGTAGCTCCATCGCATACTCGCCCACGTTCGACGCTTCCTCATAAGGACCCCGCTCGATCGGAGCTTGCATCTACACAAAGTCCTGTCGGCGGGTAAATGTCAATGTATCAATGTACCTCTAGCTCGTCGTCCGTGTTGGCGTGGTACTCGAACTCGGGCGGCGTCCCGTCTTGCACTTCGGCTTCGACGCGCCATTGGAAGAGACACCGGTCGTCTTCACCGCTCGTAATGACAAATTGGTCGTCGTGGCTATACAAAAACAACCATGAAAATCATGAGAAAATCATAAACTGTACGAAAATTGAACGTGGCTCACGCGGCCGCAGTGGCCATTGTACTGATGGTACACGAGGTTGGTCGACGGTAGCGCCGGGTACTTGTACACGCGCACATGACCAAACTGATCTGCCGCCACGACAATCTGCTCCTTATGGCTGCGGTTCAGCGCCGTGACGTGGTAGCTCTTCTTCTTGGAGGGCCAGACTCCTTGCACTAGATACGAATGTGAGCATGGAGGGATAACGCAAGGGCATGATGTACCAGGCCAGCCAAAAATGGATGTGAACGTCGCCCACTGCACGTCCTTGAGCGCACCGAGGCGAGTGTTTTCAACGCTCGAGTTGGTGTCGTAGTAGACGATCTCGCCCTTGTTGGTGGCCATTTGGAGCCACTCGCCCGTCGAACTCAAGTCGAAATGGGTAAAGATGACGGCTGGGTCCTTGCTCTTGCACTTGCCTAACCCAACGTTTGCTGGCACCTCGTCAGCGCGCACTTGAACCGCGTACCTTTGGACGCCCAGTCGTCCGTGTTGTACATGTAAATGACATTTTCAGTACACACGGCGAGCGTGGTGCCGTCGCTCGAGAACTTGAGGTTCGAGATGAACTTTTTCGAGTCTTTTCCTTCGTACTTGACCGCCAAGTTGGACTCGTTGAGCACGGCAAACGCGCCGTTGAGCTGCTTTTGCGTCGGTGGGATCTCGAGCTCCGAGCCATACCCAACCGCAATGAGCTTGGCGTCCGGCGAGTAGATGCACGCGCGCGCTGGCGCTTCGAGGTTCACGAGGCGGAGGCTCCGGTGGTGCACGAGGTCCCACACGCGAATGCTCTTGTCGTCGCCCACCGAGCACATCTACAGTTCATGCGGTGAGGGGATTTTACCCTAGCCGCACGTACCTCGTGGTTGGTCGGGTGTGTCGCCAGGCCACACCTAGTCGTCTAGATTGAATCAAAACTCAAAAATCAGACAAAATGTACAATTTGCGCGCGCAGTGGCCCGAGACGAGGGGACCATAGTGCAAGTTGCAGCCGTCCGACGTACTCAGTTCGTAGATCTCGGCACCGCCCGTGGCCACGAGTACTTTGGTTGCGTCCGTGTTGGTCACGAGGCTGCGAATGCGGCCGAGGAAGCTCCCAAGCGCCATGATATCAAACTGGGCACCGGGCTCCATGCGTTTGCTCCAGATGCGAATTTTGCCGTCTTTCCCACCCGAGAGCACGCCGCCGCCAAAGGCAAAGAGCACGTTAACCGCCGACGCATGGGCGTAAATGACCTACGCATATATTGTGAGACATCTATCCTTGCTGATACCTTGATACAATATACTTTGATGACGTTCCGACCTTCCCAGAGCCAGATTTCGCCGCGGACCGTGCCCGTGAGGATGAGCTTTTCGCTCACGGACGTGGCGCTCATGAGCGTTTGCATGCGCGCCTTCTTCCCGAGGACCCCTTGTCGACTCGTATACACGACTTCAGGCGACGTTTCGAGGCTTTCTTGGGCCCAAAACGTCACGTGGCGCTGACCACAGGTCACAAACAGCTCTAGAAATCCCACGTGTCATCACATAAAGCGGGGGGGAAGAAAAATAGTACTGGGGGTCACGGCGTGCAAGGCGAGCACATGGTACCGCGACGTGCGCTCCGTGTGGAGGAGCGTGGGCATGCCCCGAATGTCCGTGCTGCTCCACTGGTAAATCGCGACCGAGTGAAAGTCATCGAGGCCGATCGACAAGAGCGTCCTAGCGTGACAACCCATTATTCGAAAAAGAAATGGCGGCGGCGTACCGTTCATCAGGCATCCAAGCGAGGTGGCCGACGCCGCGCGTGTGAAAGTTGCGGATCGTACTCAAAAGGGCCAGCGACGTAGCGTCCCAGACGCAAATGTGGGGCCGGCGACCGCGCTCGCCGGACGCAATGACGCGCTTGTTGGGGTGCACGGCGAGGCTCAGTACCATGTCCGAGTGGTACTGCGCATACCTAGTCGAAATTACGTTTAAAAGTGCAAACATAGCGAAAGTACCGCTGCTTATGGTCAATATGGTCGTACACAACGACGACACTGGCGGCCGGGTACACAATCTCATTGGTGGAGACGTACTGAAGACATTGCCGCAGCGACGAGTTCATGCCGTAGATCCAGTCGAGCTCCAAGCTCGGGAGCGCGCTCGCACTGGATGACGACGACGACGATGGTGCGGCATTGGCCACTGTGTTTTGCCACGGCTGCGTGAGCGCCGGCTCGTCGTTCGTCGCGTACTGGTACACGGCGTCGTTGGGCGTGTCCAGGTCGATCTGAAGGCTCTCGTCCACCGAATAGAGCGGCGTCTATCGCAGGACGATAGCTCAAGGACCTTTACGCAGTCGCGCAAGTACGTGGACTTCGGTCTCGATGTCGCTGTCGCCGAGGTCGTACAAGTCAACGGGCTCGAGCGGTGCATCAAAAAGTTGACCCACCCGTTCACTTCGGGCGTCGTTTCGCAATATTTGATAAACTCGGGCAGCGTAATGTACTTGTCCGGGTGTTTTCCTACATTTTGATACACCATTATTGATTTTTCGTTGAGCGAAAAGGTACCGGCGCCTTGAAACGCTTGGAGAGAAATCTCTTCAAGCATGACCTCGGTCGGACACGGCCGGGCAATCGAGAGCTTGCAGAGGCCTGTGCGGGAGCGTCAACTCGTACATAGTACTAGAGGGCAGGCGAGGTTACCTGTGAGCGTCGACTTCATTGAGAGCGTGAGTTCGTCGATGGTGATTTCGCCGCTTTCGTTAAAGTCGTAGCAGTTGTACACGACTAGGTATGGAATGTCATCGTACGAGGCAGGATCATGGCCATCGAGACGCTACATGTGATCTTTTGGGGCACCGTCATGGCGCTAAGGAGCGCAAGTGCACCAAGGAACTCGAGCGCATCAACCAGGCCGTTCTAGACGCGTCGCTCGACGAGGGAGTGGAGGATGTACGTACATACCTCGTCCGTGTCCATGGCCTCGAAGAGCAGCGCCGTGATGCGCTCCATCTCGGCCTTGGCTTTGATCTCAAACGTATCTTGGAGTGGGCTGCAGATGTCGATCATCTCGGCCTTGTTGATGCCGAAGCCTTCGGCCACGTCGTTGAACGACTCCCAGCACTTGTTGACGTCCTTCTCCGAGACTACATCGCATGCCATGAGACACCTAGGAAGACGTCCATGGCCCATGCGCCTACGGTTGAGGAAGGGCAGGCCGGCCTGCACGAAGGAAGCCTTCCCATGGAGCTGCCCCATGATGATGACCTTTCGTCGCTTGCAAGATTTGGGTTTTGCGATCCTGGAACGTGTATGTATTCTCCGAGGTTTTTCCAAGCAAACCTGTCATAAAACATATTTCCTCCACACGTCATCTTGTACACGTCCGAGACGGTTGTGTACAGTCCATCACTCAATATTGACAATGTGTCTTTGCGTTTCCATACGACATCGCTCGAATCGCCGAGATGACGCGACAACGTCGATGCCGAGGGTAACGTAGCCACTACCACCGCTCTGTCCTTGCTGAGGTGCCCGATACGCTGCCGAGGATGCAAACAACTGGAAACACAACTGCATGGTACTAAAGTCTATTCGTTGCTAACTCTATTGCTATCGCGCCAGGTACGGCGCAATAAAGTCTTTGGCCTTGGACACTCGAGCGTAGACAAAAGGCGTGTCCTTGTGACCGCACTCGTAGCCCCAGCTCACGACACCAACGACAACGTCTTCGCCGTTTTGCGTAATCGTCAGTGGACCGCCCGAGTCGCCTTGACATACATCTTGGTCTTGGACGCCGCCAGCGCAGACATTGGAGCTGCGGATATGCGGGTACATGCCCTTGCTCGCGGCTTGGATGGCCGTGTTGCACTTGTCATTGTCCCATATCTGGACGTCGACTTGCTTGAGGACGAGCGACGGGGGGCCAAGGACACCGTTCATGATGCGGCCCCACCCACGCACTGTGCCGACTGTGCCAACGGGGCTGTCGTCGAACGAGACTCGGATTGGCTTGATCGTCGACGGCGTCTCGAGCTCGAGAATCGCGAAGTCAAAGAACGGTGCGTCGAGCAGCTCGACATACTCGGGGTGCATGATCTTGCGCTTGATGCGGATGCGCTCGCCGTCGAGGCCGCCAATGTTGTAGCGTGTGCCAACAGCGACGTAGTTGATCGAGTCGTCGACGCAGTGACCTGCCGTGAGGACGTAGGTGGGTGCAATGAGCGCAGCACCGCAAATCGAGAGCCCCCACGAGCTCTTGCGCACGCCCGCCATGAACAAGTCGTCGCCACGCGGAACGGTGCCTCCGCCAATGATCTCTGGCTGGCCACGCGGCGGCGGCGGTGTATTAGCATCCGTTGCGTTCTCGGAGGGCGTGCAACCCGCGTGGGCGGCCACGTCCAGCGCCGCGAGCAAGAGCGTTGATAGGAAGAGTCGATGTTGCATAGTCTGCTGCTGCGCGCTGGGCGGAGGAAGTGAAAATGGCAGCCAAGAAACAAGACGAAGGAGGCCTTGGAAACAGCTGGTGCTTGCATGCAGCGCATTTGTGCCTTGGCGACCCGTCTTTTGGGTAGGGACGCTGTGGCACATCCGCCTACGCCAACGTTATTGGACCCAAGAGCCCCAAAACCAGGTGTGGCCTTTTTGCGCGCATGACGCAAGGCAACAAGCGTTCTTGTCACGGCCATGCGTTCATTGGAATTGACATGCAATTGGACGAGCCGTAGCTCGTCAGAACAGCCTTGGTGCGAGCGATACGAGCGGGTAAGCAAGGTAGCAAGTGATGTTCCCCGCTTCGAGGTCGTACCGGTGCCCCTGCATACATTGCTTCCACCGCGTCATAGCCTCTGTCGTCTCATCAGCTCGCCAAAAGGAAACAACCAGGCCGGCTCAGAGAGGGATCCACCAGCTCAAATGCCAGGCCTAGCTACCAGGTTTCGGGATAACGCAAGCCAGAGGCGGGAGCTCTGCTGGCGGAAGCTCCCACGTAGCATTAATCGGCAGCCCACGCCAGTACACATGTCGTCCGACTGTTTCCTTATGGACCACATGTTGCCTCGTATCCGCTCTGTGGACCAGCAAATTGGTGGCTGGCATCAGCGGCCGTTTGTATGAGTGAGCACAATATTATCAGACGGCGTGCTCGATGTCTTCTTTGCGGCCCTTGCGGTAGCGCCAGACCATTCTGGACGACTCGGGCCAGAGCTTTCGCTTGACCGACGTCAACATCGCGTCTGGCGACAAGACGGTGCGATGACACACGAGTTCAATTCGCCCTTCTTCGTGTGTCTGGTCTCGAATGAGCTTTTGGACGTCGGCAACCTACGTGAGTTCATGATTCGTATTGGCGAAAAGAGCACGCTGGTGCACCGTTGCGTGACCGGGAAGCTTGAGCTGCGCATGGTTGAGCCCTGGTAACTGATCGCATTCGTCCGCTCTACACAGCACGTCGAGTGAATTGGCATCCAAAATGCAAAAATTGCACTCCGTGTCGGGCACAACATGTATCGCCATGTCCGAATACGGTGTTTCCGTTCGCGGAGAACTCGAACGCCGGGGGCTCTCCTGCTTGGAGAACCCTGCCACACGTTGTAGAGCACCATAGACAACGTCAAGCGTACCGTGCTGTGCATAAAAGCAGCTTCGAGGGCGGCGTCCGAGGCTTCGAGCTCGGGCATCAGCTTTTGCAAGAGTGCATTGAGTGTCCGGTCAAACCTAATATCGTGCGCGTAATTCATTGGGCGTCTGTAGATTGAAAATGTGAACCAACACGTAGTGGGGCGTCGGGCCCAAATCCATGTCGCAAATCGGGCAGCGGCGGGAGCCCCCGTGGAGATGGCGCAGGAGACAGCTCTTGCAAACTACGGAGGACGGGTCCCACGATAGGTCGAGAAGCAAAATCGTACACGAGTGCAGACATTCGGACAGCGTGTGGACATCGCGAAAGTAGCCATAGCAGAGAGAGCACACCAAGTGGGCGTGGAGAGCATCAGGCATGAGCCGCAGCGTCGGCGTCGCGTCGCTCATTCGTATGTCGCAACAAGCAACCACAGGCGAAACGGCCAGGTACCGTCACTCGCCGGCACATGCTCCAGCCATCCTGTGGGTATCAAACAGCTCTGGGTGGAGAATTGCCAGCACTGTGTGTGCTAGGCGAGAATCAAAACCATCGTTGGAACGCCGACATTCGATATGCAAGCGACTTATCTCGGTAGACGCCGCCGACGCAGTGCATGGTTGACGGAGCTTGAATTGCCAGGTGGTGGTGTTCCAATCAAAAGCACGTGTGCATACCGGTATGTTTGAGGCTCAGGACTTGATCTCACTGTCCCTCTCGGCGTATACCACATCTCTGACTGCACCATTGACGGCTCACCTCACATTCTCTGTGGATGGTCGCGTCATTGAAGATGCGGCGTCACTCTTGAATGACCGAGTCGTTGCTACCTCGTACGTTTCCCGCGAAACCGTCGTGGACTGCCCGCTCCTTCTCTCCAAGGCACATGTTTTTGCTTTGTATCAAGTTTGTATCAGCGTCGCTGGTATCAGCTGTGCACCCGTGGATCCGCTGCGTGGGATCGCCCTTTCCGGAAAGTACAAGTCATATACAAAACAAGACTTGATTCAAATGTATACAATGCGACTCTGTATGGATGCCGCAGGTCAACAGCGAGGCAACGAGACGGCTTACGACGAGAGGTAGGGCGAGATAAAATCCCGGGCCTTGGACAAGCGCGCGTACACGCCCGGCGTGTTCTGGAGAGCGCAGCCGTAGCCCCAGCTGACAACGCCAGTGATGACGTCCTCGCCGTTGGCGCCCTTGACCGTGAACGGACCACCCGAGTCGCCTTGGCACGAGTCCTGGCCGCGGACGCCACCCGCGCACACCATCGTGTCCGTGAGGTGCTGGGCAGTGCCTTCGCTGGTCTTCTGGATGGCCTTGTCGCACTTGGCGTTGTCCCAGATCTTGACCGAGACCTCCTTGAGAACGTTCGAGCCCGCGCCACCCGACCGAGTGCTGCCCCACCCGCGCACCGTCGCGACGGTGCCGACGGCGCTGTCGTCGAACGTGACCTTGATCGGCTTGACCGTGGCCGGCTTCGCGAGCTCGAGGATAGCCCAGTCGTTGAACGGCGTCTCTTCACGCAGAAAGTAGTCGGGGTGCACGATGCGGCGCGTGACACGGATGCGCTCGCCGTCCGCGCTGCCGCTGGCGTAGTGCGTACCAAGGGCGACGTACTGGACATCGTCACTGATGCAATGGCCGGCCGTGAGAACGTACTTGGGCGCGATGAGGGCACCGCCGCAGAACGTGCCACCGGTCGCGGTCTCGCGCAAGCCAGCAATGTACAAGTGCTTGCCGACGGCGGCTTCAACACCGCCGACGATCTCGGGGCTGCCGTTCGTGCCATTGCCCGCAGCGCGGAGCGAAGTCGCGTCGGTGGCGGCCGAGAGCGTGGCGAGGGCGACGAGGATGGCAGACGGAGCACGCATCGTGGTGGTTGTTGTGGTTGCGAGAAAGCAAATTGAGATATGGCAGTGGCTCGCACCCCAAAAGCTGCCTGTGTTTCGAACTTGGTCGCAGCGATCGAAACGCAGTTGGCGCCGTCTGAGTATAAGAGTCGGTTTGTATTTCGGACGTCGTTGGCGGGTACGAATTGTTGGCATAGTAGCGAATCACAGAGGTCGTTTGTGGTCTGATAATCGGATCTGATGAAGGTCGGGGTGCAGCGACAGTACTCACACCACTCAGGTGAACTCAGATGCACTCGAAATGTGCTGGTGACCCAAGGTGTACTCGACGCCGCGACATGAGCAGCTGCGCGCTGATCAGAGCACGACTCGTGACCGGATCAGAGCGGCGCGCACGAAAGACGCGGCTTGGCGTCCTGATTGGCTGAAACTTGGAGGATGCACGAATCTGATCCAAGCGGCGCAAACAAGCGGTGCTTCGGGGACACCCATCTGGGTGCGAGGACAACTAAATCAGACGATAGAAGGGTACACAAGATCGTGCTCCCATTGGATCTCGTCGCACAAAATATGTTTGGGGGCAGCGCGGGATCGGTTCTCTCGTCGACGAGTGCCGAGTGGCAACGAGAAGGAGTGGCGTTTGACAAGTCTGTAGCGTTCGTGTCCTTCGTCAAACGTCACACATTCACAGTATGGGTGTGTTTCGCGGTATCTATTGTGTTACGCGGACTTTGCATACGCAGACTATCTATCTTCTTCTTCAATTGCTCGCGCTTGCGCCGGTGGCCGCACAGGGCTCGTCTCCCTTTTCTGAGTTTGGGCAGGATGATACTTCCACAACATGCACGAGGGTTAGAAACTCGTGCCGTCGATCACCATTGCCAAATGCAGACATCTGAGTTCGCAATGTGATGCGTGCTGCTTGCTACCCGTTGATTTTTGAATATTTATGCGATACGTATCCTAGGAGATAAGACGTTTACTCGTCCTCCTCAACACGGCAAGTCTTGGACCGGCTTCCACAAATCAGACTCGTGTGTTCCCATTCTCTGTGGGCCACAGACAATCCCCACGACGTGTCTTTTGATCAAGTCACAGGATATCAATGAGGAGCGCAACATGTGGCACCGAGTACTACCTCGTGTCACCAACACAAATTTCGCACACCCCAGCACGGTTGGTCGGAATCGAATTGCTACTCCGGTGACGAGCTACTATTACGTTATATAATGGACTAATATGTCCAAGATATGACCGATCTCTCCAACTCGAACGGTCGTGGATTTGGGTTGCCATGACCAAGAACTCCGACCTTTAGCCGAGGCGAAGCTCATATCTCAATTGACTACCCACCAACCAGCACCAATCAACATGCTTGCTCCGTCTGCCATCCTCTTAGCGGTTGCCATGCTTTCCGCTGCCACCGACGCATCCTCGCTCCGTGCTGCTGCGAACGGTACCAACGACCACCCCGAGATCGTCGGTGGTGTTGAAGCGGCCGTCGGTCAGCATCTGTACCTCGCTGGCTTGCGTCGTACCGAGACTGGCGGCTCTTTCTGCGGCGGTGCCCTCATCGCGCCCAAGTACGTTCTCACGGCTGCCCACTGCATCAGTGACAGCGTCCAGTACGTCGCCCTCGGGACGCACTATGCCAGCGGCAGCGCGGATGGTGAACGCATCCGCGTTGCACGCCGCGTCGTGCACCCCGACTACTATTCGTACGAGAATACGCCGTTCAACGACTGGGCTATCCTCGAGCTTGAGACGCCGTCGACGGTCGACCCGATCCGTGTCTCGTTTGACGACAGCGCCGTCGGCACCGTCGCGACGGTGCGCGGTGGGGCAGCACTCGGTCGGGTGGCGCGGGCTCGAACGTGCTCAAGGAGGTCTCGGTCAAGATCTGGGACAACGCCAAGTGCGACAAGGCCATCCAAAAGACCAGCCAAGGCACCGCTCAGCACATCACCGACACGATGGTGTGCGCGGGTGGCATCCGCGGCCAGGACTCGTGCCAGGGCGACTCGGGTGGTCCGTTCACCGTCGAGGGTGCCAACGGCAACGACACGCTTGTCGGTGTCGTCAGCTGGGGCTACGGGTGCGCCCTCCGAAACACGCCGGGCGTGTACGCGCGCTTGTCCAAGGCCCGGGACTTTATCTCGCCCTACCTCTCGGCATAAGGTGTCTGGTACTTGAAATTCTCGCCGTTGACACGGCTCACTGCGCCTGGATTGCCATTGAAACTTTTCATTTTATAACGCTAAAATGGAGTGCTAATGCTTTAAAGACACTATTATCGTCGCCGAGGCCAGACCGCAAGTGCATTGGACTTTGTGTTGGAGGCTGCCCAAACGGCACTAAGAGGCAATGTGCTATCTACACCAACGAGAGCGAGCAAGCACAATGCATACTTCATGTCGCTTGCTCAGCTCCTCGGTAGCTCCATGACGCCGCCGCGCGTGACGTGGGGTCTCCTTGGCTTCATCGACTCGACCAACCGTGCTGGGGTGTGCGAAATTTGTGTTGGTGACACGAGGTAGTACTCGGTGCCACATGTTGCGCTCCTCATTGATATCCTGTGACTTGATCAAAAGACACGTCGTGGGGATTGTCTGTGGCCCACAGAGAATGGGAACACACGAGTCTGATTTGTGGAAGCCGGTCCAAGACTTGCCGTGTTGAGGAGGACGAGTAAACGTCTTATCTCCTAGGATACGTATCGCATAAATATTCAAAAATCAACGGGTAGCAAGCAGCACGCATCACATTGCGAACTCAGATGTCTGCATTTGGCAATGGTGATCGACGGCACGAGTTTCTAACCCTCGTGCATGTTGTGGAAGTATCATCCTGCCCAAACTCAGAAAAGGGAGACGAGCCCTGTGCGGCCACCGGCGCAAGCGCGAGCAATTGAAGAAGAAGATAGATAGTCTGCGTATGCAAAGTCCGCGTAACA